CAGATAACTTTGGCCAGCCGCGCCCGGCGGGGCAAGCCGCTCCTGCGGCGCCAGCCGCGGAAGCGGCTCCAGCCGCAGAAGCGGCGCCAGCCGCAAAAGCGGCGCCGGCCGCGAGAGCGCGCATACGCGCGCCTAGGCCGCCACGGCCTGGTGAGGGCGATCCAACCGCAGGCGCCAGCAGCCATGACATCACCAGAGCCGACGGGGCTAATGGTGGCAACAGTGGCGCTGGCAGCTCTGACGATCACCGTAGACTGCCACAAGTTGCAGCAAGGCGCGGACGCATGGAGGGAGGAGATCCTCCACCACCGCCGCAGCCTCAAGCAGAGCCGAGGCCAAGGCCAAGGCTCCCTGATTGGACTCGCTTCGACGTTCAGCTCAGCCTCCAAAACCTGCGCAGCTTCGACCCAGCTGTAGTGCAGCGAGAACTCCGCAAACTCCACCTGAGATGGTTTCATGCCAAGGAGCCAAAAATGCGGATGATTCTAACCAAGGTTGGTCTGGGTGAAACCCGTTTGAGTCTGATCAAAGGCATTTGTGACTCGTGTAGAGAATGTCGAGCCTGGGACAAACCAGGCAACACGGTGATGCCTTCTGTGTCACTGCCAGGACGTTTCAACGAGGAAGTCGAATGTGATCTTTTCTTTTACAAACAGGAACATATTGTTTTTCACATCATCGACCGTTGTATTCGCTGGGCAGCTGGCACAGAGATTCCTGATAAAGCCATGCATACTGTTCTCGATGCCTATCATACGACTTGGATGCAACATGGCCCTGCTAAAATCTTATACTCCGATGGGGAAGGAGCACTGAATAATGATACAGCAAAGGCCATCCTTAAGGCTAAGGGAACAGAGCTTCGTATTCGAGCGCGTGGCCAACACGCTACAACTATCGAAGCTAGGAACGGCATCCTGCGACACCTCTTACACGTGATGGGAGAAGAATTGAATAGATTAAATATTCCTCTCAATTTCACTCGTCTCTTACATGAAGCCTTGTTTGCCAGCAACGCATTTACCTTCTACAATGAAGTGTCTCCGTACAATGCGCTGTATGGCAGACAACCAGCTATGCTTCCCGATTTCCCTGTCTTGGATCATGATCAGTCCGCTGAATCATCAGATCACTCAAGGGAGGAAACAATCAGGAGGGTTAGTCTGGAGGCAATCACGCAGGCCACTGCGGTTGCCAAGACGAACAGGGCTCTCCGTACGAAGACTACTGCTACGGGTGAATTTCACTACAAAGAGGGAGATCTCGTGGACTATCATCGCCCGACCACCACGAAAGACGACTGGGGTGGATGGAGTGGTCCATACCCGGTCATCCGCAACGAACCTGACCGAGGCCAGGTCATCGTGAAGGTCGGCAGTCGCGAAGTGCGAGTACAGTATCCTGACACACGACACACGCTGTACATCGAAGCACTTATGGTCCGCGAGATAGGATCGGACAATACGGCCCTTCGGACAGTATTGGCCTTTATTGCCGGTCTGCCAGCGGGGAAACCCGCCATGACTTTCGGATATCTACCAGCGAAACAGGGTCGGCTGCAGATGACTGCTGCGAGCCGACTTTCGCCTAAGGTGCACTTGGCTCTTCAGTACCTCATACGCAACTACTTTCGTATTGAAAACGTTGTTGCTGTACGACTTGCCAAGAGCCTGACGAAGTTGCCTGCTGCACCCTATGCAGACAGCTGTACACTAGTGCACTATGATAATGATGTGACCCCTGGTTTTCATTACTATGAAGCTGATGGCACTGCCTTGAACATCTATGACATCACAGGATCTACACACTCACGCATCATCCAGTGTCTTAAATCCAGGAAGCCGTCTGCTGGATTTGACCAAGACCTCACTAAGTTTGAGGAACTCGCTGATGGTCCACCACCAAGCGAATCACCTCCAGCAGCTGCTCCTGAGGAGCCTCCTACGGATAACGATGGTCGGCTCCCGACCATCATAGAGGAAACAGAAGAAGATCTGGATGCTTTTGTCTTGAAGTCGTGGTATGCTGAACTGATGGATGACAGAACACTCCTTGAAGCTGACACAGAGGAAGTCATGCATACAGTTCCCACATACATGACAGACACACAGTGTGTGTTAGTCTCTACGACCTGTGAAGATGTGCAAGGCCACTTGCCGGAGCGGGGTCACCCGCCAGGATACGACATGGACACTTCTTACTACGTTCCTTTATGCTCCACGGATCCGGATAGCAAATATGATCTGGACTCCGATGAGCACGGGAAGTACATCGAGCTCTGCTTCACTGCAGACATGTCCAAAGTCGTCCTGTCCGAGCAGCAACACCGATTGTTGGATGACAGCAGCGTCACAACTATGCGAGTATACGTTAGCGCTGCCTCCAAACGTGCCGTGGTCGTCAAGGAAGACGATCTACTCACGAAGGCCGACATCCAAGCAAATCCGGTCAAAGTTTCCAAAGCCCTCTACACAGAATTGAAGACTTGGCTTGACAACAAATGCTTCCAGATGACTGACTTAAGCAAGGCGTCTAACATCATGACGTCACGCTACGTATACAAATGGAAGTTTGTCAAGAACGAAAAGGGCGAAATGGAAAGGACGATCAGGTTACGCTTGGTACTCCGTGGCTTCATGGACCTTGAAGCCTTTGATGTCGAAACCTTCTCTGGCACGGCAAGGAGGTCAAGCCAGAGACTGCTCGCAAGTTCTGCTGCATGCAACAAAGCTTGGATCATCGCTTCCCTGGACATCAACATGGCTTTCTTGAAGGGACTGACCTATGGCGAGCTCGCCGCGGCAACGGGCGAGAAAGAGCGTGTGGTGTGCTTCACACTACCACCTGGGTCAGCAGCTGTCCTTCGTACACTGCCAGGCTTTGAGTCATATGACGAATCAAAGCACTGCCTTCGGTGTCTAAAGCCGGGGACGGGCACGAAGGATGCTCCCAGGGCATTCTCGCTGAAGCTCAGGTCCATCACTAGGAGCTTCGGGCTACAGCCTACTTCATACGACGAAGAGTTCGAGATGAGCCCAAACCTCTTGACAGCCAAGCACGTTGATGACATCAATATGACTGGGAAGGAAGAGGCTATTGACAAGTATGTCAAGTGTGTTGAAGATACGTTTGGGAAGTGCAAACTGAACAAGCACACATACACAAACTGTGCCGTTCGGTACAACAAGACCGATGATGGGAGCGTCACTCTCGATCAGGACGAATACATCAAACAGCTTCGTCCTATCACACATCCAGAACTCACAGGAGCTGATCCTGAGAGCAAAGCGACAAAGACGATTTCTGATATGTTCGTCAGTCTTCGTGGCGCTCTAGCCTATGCGTTGATCACGCAGGTATGGCTGATGGTCTATGTTGTCTCACTACAACGTATCCAGGAACCGACAAACATCCAGGTACGACGACTAAACGCGGTTACCAGAAAGCTACAGGCAGGTCCGAAGAAGATCGTGTATCAAGCTATGACCCCAACAGGAGAAGTCGACCTGCATAGCGATTCTGGCTATCGTCGTCTCAACGGAGATGAAGACGACGAAGTCAAAGGCTATGGTATCCGCGGGGCTAACCTGCTGAGGCGTGGCCACACGCAAGCGGGGAAACCCGTCGTGCACCTGGTGGACGCATACTGCAAGTCTCATCGACTGCAGGTGCGTTCGAGCTACTCTGCGGAAACACTGGCAGCAGCCCACAACTTGGAAGACTGCTACCCGACCATTGTAACGCTCCACGAGCTACACTCGGGACCATTGACCCCCACACAGTTAAAGAACATATTGGAAATGGGTGGTCTATGTATCAAAGTCACTCTGACTATTGATGCCGAGTCTGTCTTCAAGTCTTTGTCTAGCAAAGATCTGAAGAAGCCCACAGAATGTACTCTGCTTGGGCACATCAGCTGGATCCGCCAGATGATGGAACGCGGAATCGTGGAAAGCGTCCAATGGTGTGACACGCGGGATATGACTGCCGATGGTCATACCAAAGGTAGTATTGACCGCGCGTTGCTCCTACAAGTAATGGCCGGCCAGCAATCCTTCAAGCACGAGCTGAAGAAACATACACCGTATAGGGCGGGCAGGTCGTCTCAGGACGGCCCTGCCTCCCGAGCCAGCGGGGAAACCCGCGGGCAGGTGCGCTTTAGTAGCGAGGAAACTCGCCGGTAGCGAGGCTACTCGCGCGCCCTTTCCTTGTAGGCAGCCGCTGCTGCTTAGCACTGTTTTTCCGCATAATGTAGAAGTGCGGTGCCTGCTCGTCTCCTCCCCCTCCGACTTTAAACGGAGAAGGTTAAAGGCGAGGTATAAATCGAGCATGTACCGCTGCCGTGCCTGGCTCAAGCCGGGCCCGGCCAAATATATGACTGTGCCTCACTGAGGCGCACGACTTGCATCAGAGATCGGAAAATACCTTTTCCATTGACGATGCCCATCCTATCCTTTACTCCAGATCCCATGCTTCGTCTTGCACTCTTGCTCATGCGATATGAGCCAAAGCCTGGGATATGGCAACGCTTAAAGCGTAACACATACCTAAGCTTACCAGCTTGTTTTCGACTCAGTGCTCGTCGACCTGGCTCTGCGTGTACTTCTTGTGTGCGAGCGGCCTAGGCCATCGCACTGGCTGCGAGGGGCAGCCCGTTGGCCGTGTCAGCGGCCATGGCGCCCACTTGCACAGCACGTTGATGATGTAGTCGCTTCGCTGATGCACTGGGACCCTCATCTTGACGGGCAATTGCGGCGACGTGTTGTACCTTTCTTGGACTTCTGCCTTGAGCGCGTGTGCACCCAGGCCGCGCGAGACGATGAAGTAGCCCCGCGTACTCCTCATGCCAACTTGCTTCAGGCAGCTGCCCAGCTGAGTGTCTCGCACGATGATGCCATTCATCTTGCGGACGATCTGACTGCTCCAGCGTCTCTGGGTCCATGTTGAAGCCGCCGCCGAGGATCCACTCCTTCTGGATCGCGTTCATGGTGGCGCCCCACTTGGCCAGGATGCGCTGGTTCCTCTGCGTGAGGCCCTCGCTGTTCCACAGGTACGCGGTACCTAGCACGAGCCCCTCCTTGCTGTAGGCGTCGACCCAGGCCACGGCGAGTCGCCCCGTGGACTCTCGCGGGCTGATGTCCCACTGGTTAATCCCATTGCGCACGAAGTCCATACCCCTGCTTCGTGGCGTCGCTATCAAAACTCCAGCACTGTGACCCGCCTTGGTCTTCGCGCTGCTCACTACCCCGATGTTCCAGCCCTCCTTGCGCATGCGGGTCTGGGACAGGTCGAGCTGCGTGCCGCTGGCCTGCAGCTCCTGGCCCAGGACGATGGCGTCCTGGTCGTTGTCCCTGATCCGCTTCATCACTCGCTCTAGCGACTTCACCGTGTTGGCATTGACCGTGTACACTGCGAGTCGCGCCTTTGGGCAGCGGCGGTTGGTGCCGCCGCTACCCCCGCTGCTGCACCCACTGGGTTTTGCTGATGGCGAGGGTGTGGCCAGTCTGCAGCTCGCCCACCAGCAGCTTAAGAGGAGCCACAACCTTGCCTGCCTGATCTGGCGTGACCCCCACGTCGACGAGCGCCTTGCAGATGTCTTGCTCGCTGGCGCCTGCGGGGATCTCGAGGAGGTCCTTCTTGATGATGGGGCTCTCGGGGCAGCTGCGCTTGCGGTTGTCAGCGCTGCCTGCCCTCTCCTTGGCGGCGCGAGCCTGCTCCGCCCTGGCCTTCTGCTGGAGGCGCTCCGCGTGCTGCTTGGCCTTCTCCTCTTCCAGTGCCTTCTGCTCCTTGGCGTGGGTGACCGCGGCGACGAGCTGCTCTCGCTTCTCGCTCTCGTCGTCGTCGACGCAGCGCTCGGCCTGCTCCATGAAGGCGAGCGCTGCCGCCCATCCCTTTCCTGGGGCGGGGACGGACAGCTCCTTGATCTTCTTGTCCAGGGTCTCGAGCTTGCTGCCGAACTTGTCCAGCTTGCTCTGCTCGTCGGCGAGCTTCTCGTCGAGCGCGTCTCTCTGCTCCTTGAGCGCGTCGATTCTCTGCTGGCACTTCCTGTCTCGCACCACTGTGCATTCGGTGAAACAGCGCGGTACTCCCGTTTCCAAAGATGCCTGCTCGGCGGCGAGCTTGTCCTCGAGCTGCGCCACCTGCGGCTGCAGGGACTCCTCCAGGAACGGGTCCTCGGCGAGTTTCCTGAGCTCAACCAGCTTGGCACGGTAGTGCTGCACCTTTGTAAGCTTCTCGTCGTGGCTCTTGTCCCCGAGGGTCTCTCCTGCCGCCGCGCTGGAAGATCCTGCGGCTGCTGCAGTCGGGCGTGCACCCCAGCACTTCCAGCAGTACTTGTACTTTGCTCCGTTCTTGACATTGCACGGTTCGCACCGCCACGTCGTGTTGTTGCTGCCATTGCTGCTGGCAACCATCCGTTGTTGGCTCCGACACTCGTGGCCACTCTGAAGTCTGAGTGTCGTACACTCGGGGCCTCCTGCAGGCGAAGGGGGCGCGCCCGAACGCAAAATGGCAGAGGAGGAGGAGGAGGAGGATGAAGAGGGTGAGGAGGAGGAGGAGGAGGATGAGGAGGGTGATGAGGAGGAGGAGGAGGAGGAGGAGGAGGAGGAGGAGGAGGAGGAGGAGGAGGAGGAGGAGGGAGGAGGAGGGAGGAGGAGGAGGAGGGGAGGAGGGAGGGGGGAGGAGAGGAGGAGGAGGGAGGAGGAGGGAGGAGGAGGAGGAGGAGGAGGCCGCGGTGGACCCCCCGCCCCGCCGGCCCCCCCTTCGCGCCGCAGGAGCGTGGTCGCGCTGCATCAGAATCCCCCCGACAGCAACGAGGCGGGCCGTCCCCGCCTGCCCTCGTGCTTCGGCGACGAAGACGACGACGAGGACGAAGACGACGACGAGGACGACGACGAGGACGAAGACGAGGACGAGGACGAGGACGACGAGGGCGAAAAGAGCGCCTTCTGTGGTCGCTTGGAGGGGGGGGGGGTGTTTGGAACCGGACACCCCCCCCCTGGATGGAGCGGGGGGGAGGTTCGACCCCCCCCCCGCCCCCCTTCCCGTGACGGAGGGGGGGGGATGTTCGAAGAACCCCCCCCTCCCCTATTTCTCCTCTCTCCCTCTCCTCGGGCTGGCGCCTGCGTCGGCGGCGGCTGGCGGCGGCGGTGGTGGGGGTGGTGGGTTGTGGTGGTGGTGGTGGCGGTGGTGGTGGGTTGTGGTGGTGGCGGTGGCTTGTGGAGGTGGTGCTGGTGGTGGCGTGGTGTGGTGGTGGTGGTGGGTGTGGTCGTTTGTGGTGTGATGGGTTGTGCTTCTGGTAGGTGGGTTGTGGCGGTGGTGGCGGTGGTGGTGTGGTGGGGGGGTGGTAGGTTAAGGTCGTGGTGGTAGTGGTGATGGGTTTTTGTGGTGGTGGTGGTGATGATGGTGAGTTGTGGTAGTGTTGGTTGTGGTAGTGGTGGTGGCTGTGGTGGTGGTGGTTGTGTGGTGGGTTGTTGTTGGTGGTGGTGGTGGGTTGAGGCGGTGGTGGTGGTGGTAGTGGTGGTGGTGGTAGTGGTGGTAGTCGTCGCTGCGTCCCCGCCGTCGGCGCTGCTGGCGGCCGCCAGCGCCGGCGCCGGCGCCGAGGGGGGGTTTGAACCCCCCCCCCCTTGGGAGGGGGGGGTTTCGGGAGGGGGGGCGTTTGGGGGGAGGGGAGTCCCCCTGGTTTTGATCGACGGCGCCGAGTGTTGGGGGGGGCCCCCCCCGGTTCGAAACGCGCCGCCGAATGTTCTCAAGGCAAGCGCCCGTGAAACGCGCTCTCTCCGAGGACTACGAGGACGAGGATGACGACGCTGACGACAACGACGACGACGACTCGGCGGCGAACCCAGGGGGGAAGTGAGAAGAAGGCCTTCTCAGCAGGCGGCGGGGCTTCTCAGAAGGCCTCGCGCCGTCTGAGAGGTTTTCGGTGTCTTCGAGGGAGGCTTAGAAAACTTCTCAGAAGGCCGGCGGACTTCCGAGCCTTCTGAGAAGGCCCGCCCCTCCTCATGTTCCCCCAGGCTCGCCGCCGACTGCTGGTTCGAGGTCGCGAGGTTCTCCCCCTCGTCTTCCTTCGGCATCGTTTGACCGATCCCCATCCCCATCCCCATCCCGATCCCGAACCCCTCCATTTTGCCACCCCAGTCGGGGATATGCCCCTTGAGGCCCGAAGGGAGCAGCCTATGTCTCCATCGAGGGGGGTACATCGGCCAGTGGGGCCCAGGCCACGCCGTTGGGGCTAAGGATCGGAACTACGATGCTCATTCCGACTCCAGGGTTGAGAGTCGGCGCCCTCGTCAGTATTGAATCCTAGTCACGTCTTGCTGCCGTCTCGGGTGTGCCGGCGCACCTCTCCTAATGCTCGTCCGTTCATGCCAATGCCTCGGAAACAACGAGGTGGTCCCCTGGCCTCGACAGCTGGGGCTGACGGCATCTTTCTCATCACCCGTGCAAAGTGGAAAGAGGCAGAGAAGTAGCGTGGCCCCCGCGCAAGTATTTACGACACGCACAATTCGAGAAGTGATTGCATATGTTTCCCTACGCACACCTCCTAGTCGTCTTTCCTCTCCTCTCTGTTTATTTCTCTTGACTCCTCAGACTCCTCAGAGGCCCCGAAGGGCCGCATGTCCCCCTCCTCCTCCTCCTCCTCCTCCTCCTCCTCCTCCTCCTCCTCCTCTTCTTTCTTTTCCTCCTCCCAGAGATCCCAGAGGCTAAGAGGCCAAGGGCAGCAGCCGACGCGCTTCAGGGCCATTAGAGCGTGGGCACCGCGGCCGGCGAGTGGATAGGCGCGACGCCCGACGGGGAGATCTTGGTCGTGCAGCTTGCTGGCCATCTCGTAGTGGCCTTGACGAGAAGCGCCCCCTTCCCCCAGCGCGTCTGTGGGAGCGTCTACGCCTTTGGGCCGCTCGGCGTCGACACTCTGGACCACCTGAGGCTGGAGGGGAGGAACCTCGCGCGCGCCCTCGGCGTGCAGGTTCCCGCTGGGCCGCCTGGCGCCCGCGTGGCGCGCTGGGTGGTCGGCGACCCGGCGGTCGAGGGCTTCGGCCACGAGGCCGAGGTCAGCCTGCCCGCGCACCAGGACCGTTCCATCTCGCGGGACGCGGTGTGGCTGGCCCTCGTGGACGACGACAGTGGGTGGGTCGCGGTGGAGAACGTGCAGCCCGAGGATCAACCTGGTGGAGAAGCGGCTGTGGCGGGGTCGCCACCCGCGCGTCCTGCCGATTCCGCCGCCGGCCCGCGGCAAGCCGGCCACCGCCCCCGCGGCCTTGATACCCCAGGACGATTTGTCATTGCCGTTCCAGAGCCCGACGGCGCTGATCGAGTTCCTCGAGGCAGTGGAGGGCTCCGGGATGTCATTGACTGCGCAGTGGGGCTACTGGGTCGAGCTGTCCGGCGTGGGCAGGCAGAGCGGGCCTTCACCGAGCCGAAGGTCACCCTCGAGGTGCTGCGCCACGCCCTTGTTTACGATAGGCTGGGCGCGACTAGCCCGGCGAGCTTAGCTCTTGGCCCGCCGGGCCCACCAGATCCAGCGGGCCGTCAAGCGGTGCCCTCGCCGCCTGGCATTCGAGGGCCTCGACCTGATGTTGAGCAGCGGGGTCGACGAGACGGGCGGAATTGCGACCTCGAAGTTCGACGCCTTCGTCGCCGAGGAGCAGAAAAACCGCGGGATCATTCTCGAGCAGGTGGCGCCCCTGGGGGGAGGGGCTGGATCGCGAGTCGAAGAGACGCGGCCCAGGCAAGGCGGCTGCGGGGCCCGACGGGGGAACAGGGCGACGGCCGACGGAGCCCTCGCCGAAGGAGGAGGCGCGGGCCAAGATCGAGGCCGGCGACGGCTGACGGCGCCACGGCGACGCCGCCAGGGCTGGGCGCAGCGCCGGGCCTTTCGCCGCCGAGCGCGGGGCCCGCTGCTCCAGGGGCTCTCATCGGGCGGCGGCTCTGCGAGGGCGTCTCCTCCGAGGGCCACCTTTTCAGGTTTCCTCTTCCTGAAGGCGGTCGCCGCTTTCGGGCCGCCCGACGTGGGGGGCGCCCCGCGTGGCCTCGGTACCTGGCCCAACGCGCTGCTCGCCCGGGTGAGCGGGGTCGGTGAGCTGTCGAGGCCATGCATTGTTTCATCGACGCACTCGGCGACGCCGTGGCGGGCCAGCCGCTGCAGATGCAGCCGCCCGGCAGTTCTTCGCCGACCGCCGCCCTGGAGTCGGCCATCGGGCGGATCCGCCGTCGGCTCCGAGATTTTGAAGCTATGCCCTCGGGCCAGGATCGCGCTGGAGCCCGGCGGGAGCTCCTTCGCTGCAATGGCCCATGCTGTGGCGCGGGCGAGCGTTCGACCCGCCGAGACTACCGACGCTGACAAGTGCAACGCGTTCAGGACCTCGGATGCCCCGATCAGGCTTCGGAGCGCGGCGCCGTCTCGCGTTGCCGAGGTCCTCGGCAATTTTGGCTCCGACGCGGCGCGGCCGTCCGCGGGCGTCGCCTCGGGGGAGGACGCCGTCGGGCCCTGCTTGGGGCCCTCTCCTCGACCTTCGTTCGAAGGCGAACCGAGGTCGCCTGGTGGACTTCCTCGCGCGGGCGGCGAGGCGCGGCGTGGCGGGCGGCCGGCGCCGACGCGAGGCCCGCGTCCGCGCGTTCTTCTTGGTCCAGAATCAAGAAGAACGGTGACATCCGCGCGGTGGTCGACACCCGCCGCGCCAGTTCGTTTCGTCGGCCCCCGCCTCGCGCCACCTTGGCTTCGCGCGAGGCGCTGGGCGCCATAGACCTTCTCGACGACGTCAACGCGTCGCCGGAGGACATGGCGGACTTCGACGGCTGCTTTGATTCGCTGTGCGCGGGGTCGGTGGACCTGCAGGACGGCTCTTGCCAGTTTAGCGACCCGGCCTGGGGCTCCTAGATTTGCTTCGACGTGGAGGTCGCGGCCGGTGAGCTACGATTTACGACGAGGCCCGGCGGTGCCGGGCCCCCGTGGCGCCAGACGACGTCATCTTGCTTTGCTGCGCCGCCTTCTTGATGGGCTGAAATTGGGCCCTGTGGGTGCGCCATGAGGCCCTCGTCGATGCGATGGGCGCCGCGGGCCTCCCAGTGGGCGCGCGGGCGCTGCTTGGCGAGGCCCGTGCTCCCCAGCTCCACGGCGGCTGCAGGAGAGACGATGGCCCCGTGCGTGGACAGCGGGAACGCGGTCTCGCCCTCGGCCGGCGCCTTCAACGATCGGCTGTCCGCCCTCGCGGCCGAGCTGGACCGCCTCGGGCTGCGCTGGCGCGATCTCGAGCGGGCTCCGCTGGGGCTAGCGCGATGTCGGGCCTGCCCCCCTACGGGGAGATTTTCGACGAGAAAACAGAACATGGCGCAATAGTAATAATACTACTACTAATAATAATAATAATAATACATATTATATTATTATTAATAGTTGTAGTAATAATGCACA